CCCCCCTCTTCTTTACTTCTGCACACAATTTCCCAATTAACCAAATGATCCTTTTTTTCTTGTCACGGCTCCCATAGGAAATCTCTCATCAACTTCTCCAGTTTCCTAGCTTCCCTAACTGGTATCATAAATACAGACAAAAGATAGGTAGGTAAGTTAGCCAAGGTAGCTCTTATTAAGGTAATTCTCCCTCATAAAGAGATAATTCCTCTTCCATGAGTCTAATCTCTTCTCAAACTTTTCTATCACTGGGGTCCAAAATCTGCTCTCCCTAGGATTTGCCCCTAAAGGAAGCCCTAAGTATGACATAGGCCAAGCAGAGRTGGAACACTCAAGACACTCCGCAATAGCCTTGACCTCCCCTACCTCCAAATTTATACCCGCCATGCAACTCTTTTCCAAATTTATTTTCAAATTAGAAATACTTTCAAAACCTTTTATTAGCTCCTTTAGATTTGCTATCTTTTCGCTAAAACCTCTTTCACAAAAGATCATTAGGTCATCTGCAAACTGAAGGTGGGTGGCGGGGACTTGGTGTCTCCCTATTCTCCAACCCCTAATGGCATCTTCATTGTCAGCCTTAGTAATGATTCTACTAATCACATCAGCTACCAAGGTAAAAAGGAAGGGTGAGAGTGGATCCCCTTGCCTAACACCCCTACAAGATGGAAAAAAGTCCCTCACCATACCATTTACCAGAATAGAGTAGTGATAAGTACTGATACACCCAAATATCCAACTATACAACTTGTCCCCAAATCCATAGTTTCGCATCACCTCTAATAAAAACTCCCAGTCCACCAAGTCATAGGCTTTTCAAGATCCAATTTACAAATGAAACCTCTCTTCCTAGACCTTTTCATTTCCTCCATACACTCATTCACAATAAAGATTAGATTTGTTATTTGTCGCCCTTGAATGAAATCCCCCTAGGTTTCACTAATGATAGAAGGGAGAACTATTTTGATCCTCAATGAAAGCACTTTAGCCAGAATTTTATAGATGCTTGTCACCAAACTAATAGGCCTATAATCTTTTGGGCGGTTGGCATCAGTCTTCTTAGGTATCAAGGACAAAAAAGTGACATTGATTCCAGGGCTTATTACATGATTGTCTGCAAATTCCTTAAAGACTTCAACTAAATCCTCTTTCAACACCTCCCAACAGTCTTGATAAAAACCCATTGTAAAGCCATCTGGACCTGGAGACTTGGATCTATCCATTAGAAAGACAACTTTCTTAATCCCTTCTTCCTCGAAATCCCTTTCCAGCCACCTTGCCATTCT